TGCAGATAAGCTATTGTTCTCTATCTACTATTTGTGGCACAATTTGCCCATTGTCCTTCTGAAATCAGTGGCTTCAGAAGGAACACAATCAGCCTGGAACTGGAACTTCAGAGTTAAGAAGCTTGCTGCTTTGTTCATTATTCGCTCCAACAAAATCTAAAAAGATCCAGTAGGATGCTGAATGCAAATCAGTGCAAAACTTGATCCTTTGGGCACTAAAAACCTTGAGAAAACAGGATGATTTCTGCTTCACTCACTTCAGTAAGTTGTCTTGGGTCTGCTTCCAGTTGTTTATTGGAGTGTACAAGTGAGAGTGGCTTTCTGGGTGTGTCATCTTTTCTTTATGACTATAATAACCTCAAAAAAATAAGCATATATCTCTTTCTAGAAAGAAAAAAAGATGTCTTATAATCCTAGGCTGAAGCTTCAGGACTGAAACTGAAATGAGCTACTGGGAATGCAGAAATTACATTGAGATTGATTCAAAAGAGGAGACGATTTCTGTGAGTAAGCATGAAGAACAAAAGTGGAAAAGCTGGAAAAGGTATTTTTTCAAATTCAATAAAATATGGAGTGAAAAGCTTTGAAAAATGGTGATGTTACAAAGAAAATGAAGTTAAGCAATTTTTTTTTCTCTACAGCTACAAGTAATGGCAAGAAAGTTATGGCAATAAAAGTTATAGAAAGAAAAATGTAATGAGTCTGGTAACAAGTACTGTAGTGTAAACATTAGAATCCCAGTTTATGACACCGTACTTATTATTTACATACCCTGAACAATCAAGAGGGATTAAAAAAAAAAAAAAAAGTGCTGTGAATTGCATAAAGATTTTATAAGCTTATACTGAATGTTTCTTTTCTATCATAATATTATGCAGCAAAGTAACAGCATGAGCAGAGTGAAACTCCTAAATTTGAGAAAATCTCACATCTTGTTTTCAGGTTCAAAAGGTTCAGTATGTTCTGTGGAGGCTAAAGACAACTAATAAAATATCAATTAACAATTTGGTAACACTTATCCCCTAAACAAGTAATTCCTTAAGTTTCTGTACAACTTAGTTTCAATAGCTCTGATGTTATTCCCTGGCAGTAAAACAAATCATGCTATTTCATCAGATTATTAAGTTTTGTATCACAGATTGAGCTATAAATACTATAAATTCTTATATTAAATAGAACCTTTTACAGGATCTTAGTCTGGAAACACTGTGCAAATAATTACACCCATGTGAACTGTCTTTAACATTTTTCTGAGTACAGACTTAATGCGTACCTTCCAGATTTTCAGATTACTGTCTTTCATTACCATACACGCTGTCTTTGTAGGGCACTTTTACTTTGCAAATTATCTTTTGTTTGTTTTAGAATGCAAAACAGTTTCAAAGGAACCAGAAATATTTTTAAAACATGAATTACTGATGTCACACTTCTAAGCCAATACATTAAAATGGTATCCCCTTAGCAACTGTGTGTACTGAGTGATGTTTATCATTGGATTAATTAGCAGGACTTTTTGTTTTGTTTTCCATTTATTTGTTTTATCATTTATCTTCATCTTTTCTGTACAGATGTTAGAGGTTTCTTTTTTTACAGAAGATAGTAGTAACTACCATGAATCAGCATCCTCTCAAGAAGCAGAGATCACATGTCAATAAATACCTCTGTCTTATCATACCAGGCTGAGGCTTAAGGAATGGAAATGAAATGAACTACAGGGAATGCAGAAATTACATTGAGACTGGTTCAAAAGTGGAGAGGATTTCTCTGGGTAAGTATGAAGAACAGAACAAAGCTGGACAAACAAACTGGATTTCTCTGCAAGAAGAGAGGGATGTGTGGAGGAAGAGAACATAAATCCTAAATAAAGCTGCAAGATGTTACCTGTTAGATAAGCAGTCACCCATGCATACATCTTGCCATGAGGATGTATAAGCTGGCAGATCAAATGAACACAACCAACCCTGAATAGGACGAATGAACAGGCACAATATGTAGATAATGTTAGCTGAATTTTTGAAGCAGGCAAGACTGAGTTTAGCAGTACTGCTCACCACTGACTTCAGTAATGTCTCATGATCTTCCATCACCTCTCCAGCATTTTTCTCAAAACACAAATTAAGTGAAACAAGTCCCTTTTTACATGTCCAGAATAATATTAACTACAATATAGATGTCATCACACTGGATATCTTCACTGGCAGTTTCAGAAAAGATTTCAGGCTCCATTCGTGAGGGCAGAATTGCTCTCTCACACATCATTGTCCCTGAAGTACACAGGTACATAGAGGCAGAGTGGTATTTCTCTTCCTTGCATGTATTGCATTTTTTCCAAATACAAGAGAAAATTTCAGAACAATTACTTGTCTCTTTGAAAAGCACTGTGTTTGCTTGAAAAATTAGTTGACTAATGAGCAATACTAAAGGTGTTGAATCTTTCCTGAAGGACCTCTGATTAATCTGTTTAGTTATCTGATGAAACCATCACATTTGTTGTCTTTGATATCGCCTATCAGTCTGTCACTTTTGCTGATCTTGTGGTTTCCTCTGGCTAGGTTTTGTACTCACACTTGTCTCCTAACTAGCTAAGGATTGCTAATACTGACAAGGATGTAGTCTGATGGAACATATTGGTAGGAAATTTCTTATTTCCCACAATTATGAGTATATTCCCAGAATAATATTTCTAGTTATGCCAGAAATTTTCATGGAACCTCTTTTTGTGAAAGAAACACAAAGTTTCCAAATATACATTTTCCCCTGTAGGTGCTTCTGTCATCCTTAGCTTCCGCAGGGTTTTCTTGTGGGACCTCCTTAATTCCCTTTTCAGAGATCGTTAAGGTTGGAAAAGACCAGGAAGGTCATTTAATTCAATTATCAGTCCATCCCCACCAAACCATATCCTCAGTGCCACATTTACATGTTTCTGGAAAACCACTAGGGATGGTGACTGCAGCCTGTTCCAGTACCTCACCACTCTTCCTGAGAAGAAACTTCCTAACATCCAACCTGAAACTCCCCTAGAAGAACTTGAGGATATTATCTCTTGCTCTATTGTTACCTGAGAGAAGAGGCTGATTCCCACCTCACTACAATCTCCTTTCATGTAGCTGTAGAGGTGCAGCCTTCCCTCAGCACTACTTTCACCAGCAAAAGTGGACTTTGTGGCCAGTGTGTACTCTTGTCACAAGCCAAAGAGGAGGGGAGGTTCTGAACCCTTCTGAGTCTAAATTGCAAACATGTGACTGAACATCCCAGCAGTGAGAAAAATGTCAGCAGCCCCCTCACGGTGCAGATGCCCTTTCTTTGCATCTAAACTCTGGGCTGATCCTCATCTCCACTCTGCCTTCTGATTAAAAATATCTGACCTTGTGAAACTTCACATGTCTTTCTGGGCTGCCCCTCCTTGTCCAGTGAAACACCCGTGGACGTCTGCTGAGGACTAGGCAGCTGTCTGTTTCCACGTGTCTGACCTGGATCTGATGGCCCCCTGCTGCCAGCTCTCCGTAATTTTAATCTTCTCCCACAGCTTGATAACCTATTTTCATGCACCTACAAGGACACAGAGTTGTTTTCTTTCAATGTACCAACATCTGTAAAGGGGTGGGAGCCCAATGTGTGCTCAATCCCCAGCCCAGAGGCTGCAGTGCCGCGGCACCTATGACAATCTTCCCTCTACTTCGAGCTCTGCTCTGCAGAGAGCAACCGGAGGGACTGCCTGTGGTGCCCGTGCATCTCTCTGCGTCTTTCGTTCACTAAGGGTGAGGGGATGTCGAAATCGAGCAAACCAGCGTTCCTCGCGGGAACAAACAGCCTTCTGCAGAAGCTGCAGAGCTCAGGGCTCTGCAGGAAGGGGCAGCCCTTGGGGAAGTGCTGCCACTGCAGCCTCGGAGGTACGAGTTGCCGACAGTGCTATTTTTATCGAGGTCTCCTGAGCAGGGTCGGTAAGTGAAAAACCCGCAATAAATGTTTTTAAATGCTCCTGACGATGGCTTCAATTATTCATCACCACTGCCGTTGTACTATAACATTTCCACCACCGAACGGTTTATGGCAGGTCTGATCTAGCGGCGGAGGCAGAGCCCTATGGAGCCCCGAGGTTTCGGATATCCCTCCCGCCACAGCCTGGTAAAAAGCTGAGGGTGGGGGAACTGGGGGGAGAGGGGGGAAATGCCCGGTGTTCTCCCGCACATCTGTGCTTTGTGAAGCGCGGCGCGGAGCCAGTTTCTTTCTCAGCCCCTGCTGCCTTCAGTGGGAGAGTCTCTCCGCCTGATGTGCTCAGAATACTGTAAGCCTCAGAATCCTCGTTTACAGTCTGCCCATTTTCTTCTGCAACGCGCACTCAACGAGGAGCACAAAGTGACTCCCCATTTTCTCTGCGTTGCTTTTAGGGAGTGGCGATCACAGCCCAAGCGAGCTCTCCCTGCGCTGCGGGTTGGGGGGGGAAGGGAGGGGGAAGGGGGGGGGGGATGGGGGCGCGGGGGCTGCAGGCAGCGTCGTCGTCCCCGTGCAGCGGAACACGTGCCGTCCCCGGCCCGCCTGCAGCGAGGAGCTTTTTATAGCAACGGGAGCAGCTCTGAGACCTCGCCTCACTCGCGCTACTCTGCTAGTGCAGCGTTATCTACATATGGGGGAGAAGGGGAGGAGAATTCAGCCCGCACCTAATTAGGAGATGCGTTAACCACGAGAACTAAAAAAAGCCCAAGTGCTATACAGCACGAACAGCGAACCCATCGATCCCTCTCCCCGCCGCTGAATGAAACAGGCGACTCTGAATGGGCGGCGGGGCCGGATGAATGAATGGGGAGCGGGGTGCGCATGAATGGGGGAGCCCAGCGCGATGAATGAACGGGGAGCGGCGGGGACGGATGGGACCGCGGGAGGTCGCTGTGGCGCCGCCGCCGCCGCCCGGCAGCTGGAATCCCCCGGCCGCGCACGTGTTGGCGCGGGGGCGGCTCGGTGTCACCTGGCGGCAGCGGTGGCGGCGGGCGGGGCGGGGGAGACTATAAAAGTGTCCCGCCGCTCTGCGTGCACGCTTCGGGGAAACTTCTTAGGCGGAGCACAATGGCTGGCTCCGTGCCGTTCTAGGGCGGGCAGCCCTGCGGCGGAGGGTGGCGGCCGCCGTCCTGGCACCGACAGACAGGAGGGAGCACGGGCAGCTCTCTCCCGCCCAGGGAAGCGGCGGCGGGATGCGAGCGAACGGCAGCGAGTTGAACGGCACCGTTCTTCCTCGGGACCCGCCGGCCGAGGGCTCCCCGCGCCGACAGCCCTGGGTCACCTCCACGCTAGCCACCATCCTGATCTTCACCATCGTAGTGGATTTGCTGGGTAACTTGCTGGTCATCCTCTCGGTGTACCGCAACAAGAAACTGCGGAACGCTGGTAAGGGTCGCCGGGGTGGGGGGGAGCGGGGGCCGCTTTGTTCTGTGGGAATAACTTTGCCCAGACTCAGGATGGAGACGGGCTTTCCTCGGGCTCCTCCCGAGCCCCAGCGGTGCCGGGTGCCGGGACGGCGCGCCTCGCTCCCTGGCTGCTGCAGCTATTTTTAGCGCCAGCCACCGAATCGCGGTGCTATTTTTAGCTGTCGGCGGCTCCCACCTCGCAAGCAGAAGGAGAAGGCATGGAAGCCTCTAAGAACGAAACTGAGCACGGTGCTGGGGTGCTGCTCTGACACTCGCTGTTAGTCTTCATGCTATTCTGATCGGGTTGCTTCGAGTTAGAGAAAGTGTCCGCTTGCAGTAGTAAGGTTGTTGCTTCAAGCCGAATGTTAAATTACAGGCGCTGCAGGATTCAGAAGAAAAACAGACACGTGTTTCAGGTTCTTTGGTCACCTCCTACTTGCTATGATAGCAAGTCTTTGTGGAATCGGAGACGTCTGACAGAAAACAGGTTTAAGCATGTTCTGAAAAAAAAACTGTAGTTTTTGACAGGATAGATTCTATGATGTGTACTTCTTAAATCCCTCTTAGTTTGTGGATTATTGGTCTGACAGGCAGGAACTTCCTCAGATTCATTCTGCTTTATCACGTCAGGCCAGCTGCTGCGCACGTGTACCAGCTCTGTGCACTCAAAACCCCATGTATCTTTCACTGAAAGAATATGGGAGTGCATGAAGGGAGCTGTGCTGTTAATGAAAGCGGGATTTCACTCCATGACAACTGAGATACTGGTTTTACTTTTTTCTAGTCATGACTGGCTGCCAAGTTATTTGGTAGCCAGTGGTTTAAAATTCATCTGAGGGGGAACTTGATGCCTGGCTTTGCTACAAGCTGTGAGAATGAAGCTGGCACACAACTTTCTATGGCTAAGCCTGGTAATTCAAGTAGATTGTACTCTTCTTTCATTCAGCTGAAATACAGGAGCACTAAAATACAATATCAGAATGAAGGCAAGCTGAGTTTCCCCCCCCCCCCGTGGTTGCTATTGATCTACATTCCAAAAGCTGTATCTTTTTGCTTTCATTGACAGAAACTGCTCTCACTGAAGCTGATAGGGCTACATTGTGTGATACTCATCATGAGATGAGAATCAGACTCAAGCAGGTCAAGTCAGCATTTGACAACCTTTGTTTCTTGAGATTTTCTGATGAAGAGAGAAAGGGTAGAATTACCCACGTCACTGGGGTTATTTCAGGGGGAAAAAAAAGGTGTTATTCTACTCCCCCTTAATAAGTATGAACTTCTCCACTTTTGTGGGGAGTTTATAACAGACATTTCTGGTAACAAGTCTGAAATAAATGTGGTGCCTGTTCTCTGGAAACATAACTGAATCATGGGGTCTTCTGTGTGTGCATATTCACTACCGTAGTTTTTGTATAATCCCTCTTGAATCTTGACACATGCTCACTTGCTCATTCTTACTGCATCTCTCATTCTTGCCTTTTCTGTCACAGTGGCTGTCATGAACTGCAGCAAACTGGAAACAGTTTTCTCCTCCAGCTAGGAGAAGAGCATTCTTCTGAATACAAATTATTTTAGACTGGAATATGAACTAGATACTATTCTATGCTCTGAAATAAACAATTATTGAAAACAAATAAATATTTGGTATATGATGGGAAATTTGTCTGTGTTAGAGTGGGGAAAAACCAAACAAACAAAACAAACAAACAAACAAAAAAACCAAAAAAAAAAACAACAGTAAAAGTAACTTTGAAGTACCTGATCAGGTAGGTTACAAGTCCTTTTCCTCGAAGGAAAGATTCTTAATACGTGGATTAACTGACACTTTGCAAAGACAATAATAAGCCTCAATAATATGTGCAAACTAATGTGTTTTTGTCTAATCTGGCAAAAATCTGTTACCTGCAACTTCATTTATGTGAATGCTGCTGTTAATCTTGGCATTGAATTCATAAGTGTTTGCTCAGGTGAGTAAATCTAAACACAACACTTTACAGAACCCTGTGAGGAGGAAGGAGTGTCCTGATTTTAATAACACTAATTCAGGTTATTCAAGAAGAGATAACATTAAAAAAATATAATCTAATTTACATATACAATTAATTTTTAACTTGCAAATTATAAAGACAGATACAACTTTTTACAGAGCTATAACAATAAAGAAACTTTTGACTTTACGAACTTTATAACATCCTATGTTAATAAATCTTGCTGGCACATTTATTGAGAATAAAGGACTCAGGATGAAAATTCCACTGGAGAAAGGTCAGGGAGGAACAGAAGATACCTCCTGAAGAAAATATCTCATGGAAGACACTCTTCTTTTTTTGCAAGAAAGGACTAACAGAAATGAGGATTATTTAATACTTTGTCAAAAAGGTGGATTTGGTGGGGGATTCATCTTTGCATATAAAAATATATTTGGAAGATTTCTGCAAATTGAACCTGTGGATGTATGTTTAAAAAAAATGCACTGAGAAGTAGTAGACTAGAAAAAAACTTCTCAACAAGTGGTATAACCTTCTTGTCAGTCAGAAGGTTAGTAAAAGACACTGATCAAAGCAGAGGAGTCAGTATCTCAAAGAAGTTTGTCTCAGCAAGCGAGGAGTTTCTGATACTACAAACTCCTTCATAGTCACAAGCATGGCTTCAGTAGATGCTCTTCTAGACAAAGAAGCTGATGATGCAACTGGTAGGATTCTCTTTTATTTAATGTATTTGACTTGTAATAAGTTTCATAGTTCTGGTCTATTTTTTTTAATGATGGCTTTCTAATCTTGACAGGCACCTGACACCAATTCAGTCCTTAAGGGAACAGCTGCAGTTTAATGCTGGTCTACAAAGACTGAATTTGGTTTATGATGTCTGATCTTTCAGCTTTGAAAGAAATTTTGAGGGGAACATTCAAGGCATAAGGATTCTAATACCCACGTTTTGACAGTATGTCCATGCAGCTTAAACTTCAAATTGATGTGCTTTCTTTAATTCATTTCAAGAAGAATGAGAATTGCTCATCTTAAAAGGAAATTTGCTGTAAATTAATATGTTTCATTTCCCATTGCTAACATTCATAAATCTAGAATAGGGTCTTTCAGCAGAAGTTGCACCCTGAAATATGAAATAAGTGGATTTAGGAGAAGGTAGATCAGAGAAATACTAGTAGTTTTTCCTGTCAGTGACTGCTAGTATCCTTATGCCTTTGCTGTTACCCGCATCAAGAAAAACAATGCATCAAGAACAAAGTGAGGGAGCAGCTGTAGGTCTTTAACTATGAAGTTTAGTTTAAAGCTCAGTGCATTAAAATGTCAGTTAATGCACACCTACAATTTTGGTGATGGAGGGGCTGGATACTCAATGATTGTAGGATTGGACTATTAAGGCCAATGAATAAAGCTCTCTTAAGAGCTGTTGTCCCTCTTGTTCTTTTCCTTTTGACACTGTTTTATTAGTCCAGTGGTTTGCCACTTCTGGATATTTTTTGTACTGATGTCTAAATGTGCCCTGATTATCCCTCCAGAAAACTTCTGTGACAGCTGGCAAGATAATAGCTCCGCTAGCCTCATTCTGGCTCTTTTGTTTCTTGTCTCAGTAGCAACAGGGGGCTAGTGGCCAAGCTTGTAAACAACTCTTAATGCATCAGGGCAGAAAGATGCATTCATACCCTTCTCTCCCAGCTCTCTTCTGTACTAGATGTAACTACCTTCTCCTGGTTTCCCATGTCCTTGGCCCAAATGTTTTGATAATAGATATGTAGCTTTTAATTCTACTGAAGAAGGTGGAGAGGAAATCTGAAATTTGTCAGGCCACACAGTCCTAGAGAAGCAAGATGTATTTAATTCTGTTCATGCTTAAAGTTAAGTGTATGTTAACTACTTTTCCAAATGAGATGGAAATGAAAAAGGAGAAACTTGAATGTGAAGTCTGCCATATCCACATTATGTCCAAACAGTTCAGTAAAGAAAGTGCATGAAAGAATGTGTTGGAGAATAATCCCCAATCAAAATTTGTTAAGATCAGTGAAGTCTTTGATGCAAGAATTAAGGAACATAGCTACCTAATACTATACTATCTTAAATCTGGTATTTGTTAAATAGCATGACCACTGCAAAATTAGGGGTATTAACTATTAGAAATAAACTTAGAAGGTTTCCAAATTGTCCTTCTATAAAATTATATACTCTGAGCTGTGTAAGAACATGCTTGAAGAATGTTCCTCTCAGTGTGTTTTGCAGAGTATGAATTTTCTATTTAATCTGGGAACCAGCTTTTGATAATCAGATGGGAGATCTCACTAGCCTTATCAGAATGATTGTTCTTGATGATGTTTTCTTAGTTTTTAAGACAATTTTTAATAGCATATCTAATGCCGTCATTTAATCTAATAAATGAAACTCCTGTTGTGAACTCAAACTAATGGAATTATTGGTTTTGTTTCAGGTGATCCTTGGACTTGTTTTTGTGTCCTGAGAGAAAATGGGTAGCCTGACAAGTATTTGACTCAAGAGATAACTTACAGAAGATCAAGTTGTAGCACAAATTCAGGGTTCTGATGAAAACTGAGGTGCTGATGGCATTATTTCAGACATGAATAACTTCAGGTATTAAAAATGGTAAGCTGACTGGGAGGGGAGAAAATGTCTAGAGGAGACACCAAACCCTGGCAACTGTTGAACAGAACGAAGTATAAAAATGCAGTTTAAATAAAGCTGTTTCTCAGAGTGGTTTTGATGAATAATTTACTGAATCAAGGGTTTTCCAGAAAACTGCTTAAATGGCACCATCCTGTCAGTGACCAAAGATAGAGATGAATATTTCAAATAATTAATATTCCATTCTCACTAAAATATCTGTCAAAGTCAGCCATGTATGCCTTCTGCAAGTTCCTGCATTCGTAAGTTTTTCACAGTAGTGCTTCTTCTGGTTTGCTGCTGCCAGTGCTTACTTACATACTATACTATTTTCTGGCCATTTTTAGTTGTT